GGTTATAATTTATTACATTGAAATCGTAATCACGATCAAATTCATCAGGCCTACAAATTCAAAAGTTATATATATATATATATATATATATATATATATATATATATATATATATATATATATACGGGTTTCACACGTATTCAAAACCTTCGAAACTTTTCTGCTGAAATCACAGGTGGTAAAAAGAATTTTTTCGCCATTTTATCTGCTCGCCTCATCTTTCAGTCCGTTTCTTAACATATACTTATACGCAAGTACCCTTGCGAAATATATTAATTCATCTCCTTCCTCCAGTTATTTGTTAGGGTTTCTATCTGAAAAACAAATCATTGTTACTCTCAAAAAATGCAATATTTACTTGAAAAAAACAAAAAACAAAAAAAGTATTCTTGTAACACTCAAAAATATGCTTCGGTTTTAAAATACACACAAAGATAAGACGTAAAAAATCAATCAGAAAAATTAAGAAAATATGACAAAATAAAATGAAAACAGTGAAATAGAAAAAGAAAAATGAAAGTGATATGAATAAATATTAACAAAATCCACAACTCTTAATCAGGTTTTTTCTGCAAACATCGTGTGCTGTTGGAGCACACGATGTTTGTGTTCATAGTATTCGTACCAATTTCTGCAGAGTGGAATTGGAACGCTCCCCGGGCATCCTAGCTCTCTGTAAATCTAATCTGAATTATTCCATATCTTCAATTGAATTCTCTGTCCCTGGCTATCTTCCTCTCTTTCGGAAAGACTAATGTCCACAGGTATGGCCTTGGTGTATATATCCGGGAACATCTCTCACTGGCAAGGGAACTTTCTCTTGAGTCTCCGAACTGTTCTTACATGTGCCTTCGTTTTTTTCTCTAGTAAATTCAGTCAACTATATTTTCTTTCTCTATCGTTCTTCTTCCTCTCATGACTGTTGCTCGCTTGATAGAATTTTTATGTAGTATAGATAAGACCCTTTCTCTACAGCCGTTTGCAGATATCTTTGTTCTCAGCGATTTCAGTGGCCACCGCGTTAAGTGGCTTACTCACTCTAATATTACTAAACTTGGTGGCAACCGGACCTTGAGCTTCTCTATTACGCAATTTTTGCACATAAATCGTAGACTTCCCCCACGCATGTCCCCCAGCAATTCTGACGGACACAGTTCTCTACTTGATCTCTTTCTTACCTCCAGCCATGACTCTTTCTCTTCGCCGCAGCTCTATCTCCTTGGCAACATTCTTTCTGTTATGAGCGCGCTGATTGGAATTCGTTTCGTAATTTCTTTCGCAATGTTCCTTGGAAGGATATTTTTAATTATCAGCAATGTGCCACTGAGATCTCTTCCTGGGTGAAAGCTGGCATCGAAGCTTTTGTTCCAGCTCGGAAATACCAAATGAAACCATAATTCTCACCTGCTTGCTCAGCCACTATAGCCCACAGGAATCACTTCTTCCGGCTATACCAGAACGACAAGTCTGGTTTTAACAGATGTCTCTTTGTCGCTGCTCGTAATTAGTGCAATTGTGTCCTCAACGAAGCAAAGTCACTATTTGATGATAGAATGCGGCACGGTATAGTCTATCACAAGTTTGGTTCCAGGGTATACTGGCGGTTCTGCATGTGTGTGTTGAACAATAGCAAACCCTCAGTCCCTTATGTCTTCAATCAATTTGAAGTATTGACATCTGCAGATAAGATAGAGTGTTTTGCCCAGAAGTTCTCTTCCAACTCCACTCTAAGTCATCTGGCGTACCTCTGCTAGATTTTTCACCCAGAACGGAGGCTCTACTGAGTGACATATGCATAACCCCGTCATTGGTCTCTAACATCATCTATAAATTAGACCCCCACAAGGCAAGTGGATGTGACGGAATCCCTGTCATTGCCTTTATATAAATATGCTCCTGAGCTGGCTCCTGTGCTCTTTCCAAACTAAAATAAATGCCCCGCTGCTTCCTGCTTTCCAGCTTGTTGGAAGTCCTCCTCTCTGTAGTTCCTGTTTTTAAGAACTCTGAGGAACCCCCTGACCCCTCAAATCATCCCCCAATTAGTCTCAATTAGTTTCGGAAAAGTAGCCGAAGCCCTAATCAATGACGAATTGGTTAAGCATCTTATTTTCGCATGATTTCCTTTCGGACAAACAATATGGCTCCCGTTTCGCCAGGTCTGCCGCCGACGTGTTAGCAGCCATCTCTGAAGTTATCTATCAAGCTTTAGATGAGAATGGCGAAGCTCGGGCAGTGGCTTTAGACATCTCAAAAGTGTTCAACAGGGTAAGATATGCTTGTCTTCTATGCAAGTTCGACAGCTACGGCCAGTTAGATTATTTGGCTAAATATAACCCAAGTATCGAAGATATCGTGAATTTAAAATGAATTTGAAACTCTAACGGCATTTATATTACTCTTAAAAACTCATGCAAAACTGTATCATTACATGACTTCCGAGAAGGAAAAAAGGGTGTATTTCTCCGTCCTTCGCAGAATAATTTGTACTAATTCACGCTTGGTGAGTATTCGTGATGGTCGAAGATAAAGGATGTTCATTTGGAAGTACATGAACGTAAATCACCACAGTTTTATTAGCAATTGCAAGACGACATTTGAAAGAACGATCAAGACAATTTTTTGATAGAAATTTTGCTTGAACAAATTTCAGCACTCGATCAAAATGTCGGGCAATGAAAAATTCGGAAAATAATTTATTAGGGAACAGAAATAATATGATTTTTATTGCTGCAATTATTCCACTAAAGATACACTCGTGTATAAAACTCACTTGGGGCTACGAATTTCCTGGGAAAACATTAGTATTGTATGATAATAAAACTAATAGAATATTGTTAGAACGTAATCTAACATTGTTTTCACCTTTTTATCCGGTTGGTATCGACTAAAAATACCAATTTCTATAGTTTGCATCATGGGGCATGTCGACGTGGAATAATGTTTAGCCAGCGTGTCTCGATAGATCAAATACGATTGAGTAGTGAGTTCATTCTTCACTGGGTGCCACAATCTTTTGCCCTTGCGCCACAACTAAGCTACACTTAGACATAGCGCACATCGACGTGGTGTAATGTTTAGCAAGCGTGTCCCGCTTTATCGGTTACAACTGAATAGTGAGTTCAATACTCACTGAGTGCCCCATACAGTTGGCCTTGCGCCACCACTAGGCTACGTTTAAAAACAGGGCACCTCAAAGTGGTGTAATGTTTAGGTAGAATGTTTCGCTTTATCATTTATGACTGAATAGCGACTTAGATTCTCACTGAGAGCCCCATAGATTTGGCCTTGTGTATATATATATTTCAGTGGCGACTCCGGGGGTCGGGCTTGTCGGGCTTAGCTCGAGTCACTCCACTCCTTGTTGGCACCTCAACGTGGTGTTATGTTTAGGTAGCGTGTCTCGATTGATCAATTACGAATGAATAGTGAGTTCGATCCACACTGAGAGCCCTATACATTTGACCTTGTGCCATAACTAAGCTACGCTTAAAAATAGGGCACCTCAACGTGGTGTTATGTTTAGGTAGCGTCTCTAGCTAGTCATTTATGACTGAATATTGTGTTCAATTCTCACCGGTTACCGCATATTTTCGCTCTTGTCCCACAACAATCCTACTCTTATTAAATCACTGTGTAGTTTGCATATGTGTTGATGCACAATATTTATGGCACAAAAACAAAATTTACGCATTATATATATATATATATATATATATATATATATATATATATATATATATATTGAACAAGAAAAAATATTAAAAATTAAAATTTTCAGACACACTGGGTTGTAGATTAAAATTCTTTCGTTTTTATTATTATTATTTCATTTAGATTCCTCGACTAGTTTCGGCCAAAATGGCCATCATCAGGAGAAGAAATATTTCTGCTTCTTGGTAGCAGTAAACTACAGAAATGAATGTCTTGCTGGAGAAAATGAACTTTTGTCTATAGTTTTCATTTGTTTTTTTATTTTTTTTATCTTTTTAACATGAATCTTTTAACATTCCTTGTGTTGGTCAAACAGTCTCTTTTAAGTTATTATTTGAGATAAGAGCTGGATGGATCTATGCTTCCCTGAATTCCCTTGGTCAGTTTGACAGTTTTATTGGTTCCTGGTGAGGGGATGTTAAGTGTGTGTGTGTGTGTGTTATTTGGTTCTTAGGGAGTGAGTGAGTATGATATGTGTAATCGTGTATATTGCTGTGGGTGTGTGTTATCATTTAGCTTATTAGGGTGTGAGTGAATATGATGTGTGTAAGTGTGTATGTTCGTGTGGGTGTGTGTATAAGTGTGAGGCCTCAACACCTCCGTAAGCATGTCTGTCTTGTGTGGGTGAGAAATGTGGGTAGGTTTTCATTTGTAGGGTTATATATTAATACTATCTATATTGTTAAATTTATGGTTTAGCCCGGCTGGATAGTGTGTTTGTAAACGTTGTATCCACTTATTATCCTGGAACTCTAAAATCTTTCAAATGTTATCTGCTCTGAACTTTTCTATTTTCTCAATTATAGTGAATTTGGCATGGGTTTTGAAATCGTGTTTTTCTAGGCGGAAATGTTGTTCTACAGGTAATAATTATATATATATATATATATATATATATATATATATATATATATATATATGGATACTGAAAGAGTGGCAGAGCATATAGGAAACAGTGCTACTAAAATAATAAAAATGATCTTGAATATATTGGACTTGTGTATCTGGCACTCTTTGATTCGTTTTTTTTTTTTTTTTGACTTATCAATCCATTGGGTGTTATTTAATGCTAGAGAATATTTTTTAGATTGTAAGAATTATTTTAGATAATAATGTGATACAAGTTTTACTAATTAACAGATAGTTGGGGTGGGTGGGAATAGAAGGATTCACATCTTTCCTAAGGGTATCTGCGCGAATATAAGGAACACAATTGAAATCAGAACTTGGCTCTCCTATTTCCAATTCCGAGCCATTATGGATTACACTGTACGCAAATCAAAGCTTATAATACCTGATATTCCCAATCGGTCACCCATCTAAGTAATGACCATGCTCGACGTTGTTTAACTTTGGTGATCGTGCGGGAACCGGTGTTTCAAAATTGATATGTCCGTAAGCCGATAGCATCGTTTCCGTGGAAGTAGAACAGGATAGCGTTCTGAAACGACGACATTTACTAAACTAACAACAAAGATGAAACTATCATGACGTCTAACTTTGACACAGACAGTTGTGAAGCAGGCTAAAGTATGATTAATATCTATGGGAACATTATTAAAAAAAAAAAAATGAAGCCTTTGGTTTTAACTAGAGATGATTGAGTCATACCGTCCCCAATATGGCAACACACATGACCGGAATATATATATATATATATATATATATATATATATATATATATATATATATATATATATATATATTTCAGTGGCGACTCCGGGGGTCGGGCTTATCGGGCTTAGCTCGAGTGACTCCACATTAAAATATATCTATTTAAAAGCAAGAAAAATCTTTCGTACTGCGTCGTTTTCATTCTCAAAATATTGACCGAAATGCATTTCGTTGATATTGTTCCTAGTAAAAGAGAAAAAAAAAGAAAAAAAGGAAAAAAGCAAGTAAAAAAAAGAATGAACTAAAATTAACGTGGCTAGTCGTGCTGCACAGATCTGAGCCCTATCAATATGGGGACATACTTAATAGGCAATGAATTTCTTGCTTTAATTTTATAAATAATCTTTTTAAAATCTCAAATGTCCTCTTTTTCAAAGAACACATTTTTAACTCATTGTTTTCAAATGTCCATTTTAAATCATTTCTTCCGTACAGTATAAGTTTTTTTTAGCGGAATGTATCAATTGAAAAAGCCGCTATCCATTACTCCTGTTGTGCTATGGATGATGAAGTTAAAGAGATGGTCCTGTTGGCACTTGTTAACGTTGCGATATGTGGCGCAATTGGCTGGATATTGAGAATCTTTAGCTGCGATGGCGGCACACCACAGTAAAAATTGGGAATGTGAATAGAGTCTAAGATATAAAAAAAACAAAAGCAAAAAAAAACGCTGATTTGTTTACTTTGTCCGGTGTTCTCATTCATTTCCATTCAGCCACTGTCAGTTTGTAGATTGAAAAAGCCAGAACCGGTAATGTAACGTTCTTTTCCCTTTTCGTCCTCACAGATTAATTTGATAGAACGTCTGTTAGATATTATTCTGCTGACCGGTCTGTCGTCTAATGATAACTTTTGGTGACGGGTGCATATGGCAGACTATCATAATTAAATCTTAGTAGCCGCGAGCAAATTTATATAACAATATAAAATTAAAGGAAGAAGTAAGGAGAAGCAAAGAGATTTGAAATCTCAAATTTATTTTTTTTAAATTCTTATCTTTAAAATCAACTCGTTACTTTGTTTATTCAAAATTTAGGTTGCCACGCAGAAAGAAAAAAAAACTGACCACAAAGTTTAGGCTAATAAATAATTGTTAAAAGTCGTCGTGTAAAATACACTAACCTAGAGACAAACATACAAAAATATCTACACATATCAATGCCAATTAATGAGCTTAAGTCTACGAAAGAAGACGCTTGTACACTTACAAGAAAAACATACTAAAAAACTGAAGGAAAGTATCTTGTCAGTATTGCTCAATGGAACGAGAGGGATTCTTTCGCAAATATACAATTATATCGGGTTTCAATCCCGGCTTGAAGCAATTAGACGTCTAACCACACTGAGGAGCCGTGAAACAGTCTGTCTGCGGATGACTATATGCTTCCGGAAATCCGGTTGAGTTATCTAGGGAAAGGGGTTTTTAAAAACAGCAGTTCCTATTAAGCATTACTCTTTAAGTATGAAATTAGTGCTCCTACGGCGATGGCCTACAGATAAGATATCTGACTAATGTCAAATCAGTCGGGTTTTGATCCCGGCTTGAAGCAGTCAGGCGTCTAGACACACTCTCTGTCTGTGGATGACTATATATATACATATATATGTGTGCGTGTGATTTATATCGATTATTTGGGTAACGAAGTCGTTTAATTGGCACAGTGTAAAGAAACCAAGCTAACTTTATGGCTGTTCAATGCTTTGATATCATTAATCAGATGTTATATGCAGTTCATTTATTGTGATTTTAGACTATAAGCACAATTATATGTACCATTTTGCGCATACGAAATTCCAAACTTTAAAAAATATGTCAAAGAAATCAAGCATTATTAAAAGATTATGACATTATTTTCAGCAAGAATTAAGTACCTTGTTAGTGTTACTCAATGAAACACGAGAAATTACTTCCAAATACATAACTATATATATATATATATATATATATATATATATATATATATATATATATATAAAAAAAAAGTGAGAAACCGCAAACGTTTTTAAAGCAAAACATTTTTTTTTTAAATCCACATTACAACCAAAAACGTTTGCGGTTTCTCACTTGCGTTTTTTTGGTTGTAATGTGGATATATATACACACTTTTCTCTCGTTGGAATGGCTATAACCACTTTCTTATATATAAATATATATATATATATATATATATATATATATATATATATATATATATATAAGCAGTACAAGATGCTGTTTAAAAATTTCTGGCGAAGTGAATTGCGTCATGGTGCTACTTTTTTTCACAACTAACTCTACTGAAAAATGAAAAAGAAACAACGAACATTCGCGAAAGTAAAAATATAAAATGGCAACCATTTACCCATCGCACCCTTTATATATACTAGACTGAATGTTCTTGTTGTAATATTGATCTAAGCACATTATCTACTTTACAGCACTAAGCACCCGTGTTGGTTGACGACTGTTTCTAAGGAAGAATGAAGCGACAGTTAGACATTCTGGTAATTTTAGTTTTGCTCGCGTAGAATCAATTAAAAGACTATGGCAAGTTACAGTCAACCTTACGAATTACAATCGTATATCTGGAGGATATGGAAAAAATATGGAAAACACTTGAGTAAATTCAAATTTGTTTCCTTCTTCTTTAAAATCAAATTTTGTTTTGTTTTTCTTTAATGGCTCTCCACAAATTTCTGTCTTTTGTTGCTTTAAATAACTTTTGATTTTTTACAATTCGGTTCTGCCACCCACTTGCACAAACTATTTAAAAACTTTACTCACCGTTTCCCCCTGCTTGTCTTGCTCTCAGTATGTCCCGTGAATGTTAAATTCTCCCAACCTTCTTTCTTTATTTATTATGTCGCCCAGAAATTTCAACTCTCACTTTCTGATTGTAAGTTTGAATGTCCTTGTTTGTTCCTTTCTCGTATGTTTATTACAGGCTGTCCACAGTACCAGTTGGTAGAACCACGTCTCTTCAAATCTTTTCTTCATCAGTGAAGAAGAGATTGTTCAGCATTCATATAGGAGATTAGATATTAAATTACATGGCAGTAGTTTTTCTATAATCTTGAATGTTTATTTATTTATATATATATATATATATATATATATATATATATATATATATATAATTTATCAATCCACCCACGGGGATCGAATGTAGCACAAGGTCTTTTTAATGTGGGTATCTCTGAGCCCGTAGGCCCAGCCAAAAATAAATAACCATCCAAACCTGCCGAGGCGGGCCAGTTCCGTCAACCTCCCCAACGAAACCCCACCCTTCGGCAGAGCTTCGTCCGGGTTCCTCTCTGCAAGCAGAGAGTTCGACGAACACCCAACCCGGCAGCTCACAAAGCGCAGATACTATACTTTTGATCCTAGCCACCGGGCCGAGCAGGCATTCTTTTATATATATATATATATATATATATATATATATATATATATATATATAGTATATGAAAACTAGGTAATTCGTATGGGTAAACCCAAGGAGGATAAAATCCAGAGAGCTCAATGTAAATCCAGAGCAAATAATTTAAATAAAAACAGACCACTTTAAGGTTCCATGTAATAATTTATTTCACCACAGCCCTTTTAAAGGACTGCGGATCATCAGACTTTACTTCCAAAGGTTGAAACAAATATATATATATATATATATATATATATATATATATATATATATATATATATATTACTGTAATGAATATGCATAAACCTGGATTCCCCCTCACAGTAATATGATTGGCTGGTGTCAGCCATAAATACAGAACTGATGTGGAGGTACATGGTCTACGCCTATTGTCTAGGCCTATTGCCGACGCATATTGCCTACGATTACGATGAGTACCAGTCCATTACGGCTACCTGCTAGATTGTCCTACCCGGTTACAGTAGCCAAAACCACTTTGCTACTTCGAACAAATATATCCCTTTCCGGGACATATCATAGCATATCATATATATATATATATATATATATATATATATATATATATATATATATATTTAATATATTTAACTGATAGACTGGGAAAGTATTAATGCTTCTAACTATAAATTCTTTCAAAATATGTACAAGGGACTTATAAATTGTGTTATCTACAATAAAACTTAAGCCTTGAAAGGGATTTACACGTTTTCCACAAACGCAATACAACAATCCAATTTTCCGACAACGTATGTTTTGGCAACCCTTTTAATCTGGACAAGATTATGAGTATTTTAATTTCACACATGCAGTATTGTGTACAGCATGTGTTTGGGTACACTGGTATCGTTGGCGTAGTTCCATCGATTTTGTGTAATTCCTAACCTATTTTGCTTATATTTAACTCATAGCCTACAAAAGTGCAAGTGTCCGCAGTGGTGTTAAGCGTAAGTGCCAATCGATATCGACGGAACATGTAGAAAATAGTCGATCGCTGTCTTTCGATACAGAAGGCATGTATCGTATTGGTTCTTCGACTAAGTATGATATAAAGTAACAAGTATTTATATTTTATATTAATACCCGCGTCGGTTTCATTTATAGTGGGTTGGTGCATAATTATCAGGCGTTTTTAAACAATATTTATTATGAAAAAAGAAACGTAACATTCAACAATAAGATTTTTAAATGAGTACGATTATCGACACTCATTTCCATAACCTGGAAATAAAATAGTACTTTTATTTTTTTTTTTTTAAAAGTAAACAAAACAGCAATTTTTATTAAGAAATAACTTGCCTACAAA